TTCCTTATGGGTTACATCACATCTCTGCTCTTTATGCATTAGGTTCCGTTCACTATGCTATAATGATTACTATTTTACATTATAGGCTCAATTCTATTTTGGCCATGTGACTGTAATTTTCAAATCTCATTGGACTCAGCTTAAAAATCTCTTAAACAAAATAAGTATCCTTATCTTGTAAATAACCTGTGCTATAGATTATTGAATTGATTCTTCACTCATTAAATAATGGTCAAGTAAAGTAACTAATTTAAACTGAGCTTATGATGAACAAACGCATAAGCAGAAGTTACCTTCAGTAAAATCTATATGTGAAAACATTTAAAAGGGCCAGATCTGCAGCAATATGCCAATTCCAATGCCTAAATATAGTGATAAGCTGTAGATATAGGCAGCTGACATTATGTGGAAATGTCAACGCACATTTTTCAACCTCTCAAGTAACCTTACTATTTTTTTAATGTGATGGAAGGCCTCAATAATTTAGGGAGGCTTTTAGAAGAAAAGTAAAGAATTGCACATAAATCTCATCTGCTTGCGTCACTGTATCTACTGATACTGATACATTGATACATTTACATTTTAATGTGCAGTTTTCACTGAACCTATCCTCTGGTTTTTTTTCTCCTATATGCTAATTTTTTTAATGGTTTACTTATAGTAAATGTTTATCTATATGTAAACTGTTTGACACTTAACATTATCACAGTAATTTCCAATCCACATGTCCTTGTGGGAGTAATGGGGCCTATAGGGTGTGCAAGACAGCCTAGTAGTTTGTTTGCCCACCCGTTGCTTGAAGCGCTTCCCAGAAGTTTCATAGTCAATCCTACGAATACAGATACTGTAGATGGAATACTTTTGGTATGCTGTAGGTCTTCTTCAGGGTCTCCTCTGCATTGGACATGTATGGAACAGTTTTTCTTAATCAATATCATATTTATAAAAAGAGCTTTGTTAATTAATATAAAGTAAAGAAATTAAAAAGAATCAGAGTACTAGCAAATCATTTCTTAAAAATAGACCAGGTTTTTCTTTGCATAAAAATATACAGTATAATCCAATATAAAGAAATTTGACAGATTCTAAGCACAGCTACGATACTGATGTTATCTTCACAGAATACTGCTTCATGTCAGGTTACTGCACTTTAGCAGGAAAATAAATAACTTCTAGAATGACTGTAACTTGTTGGTCAGTTACATTTGACCGAAGAAGCCAATTCTGTAAGAGACAACATTGTTTGCTTGGACACAAAAATTACTGATGTAATTTATTGTTTAAATGTATAGTCTAACAGAGAAAGGCGACATTATACAACTTCACTTGCAGTTCTGCTTAAAGTGATAATAAAGTCAAAATGTTTTTAAGCTATATCAAATGCTGATTGAGTCACTTACAATGGATGCTACTACTTGATGTTTAAATGTTTAGGTTTCCTGCAGAATCAGTTGGACCCTGGAGCAATGGCCTTGACATCCTGTTTAGGGTGGCTCCTTTCCCTTGCAGGGTTCTATGCAGCCACCCATGTGTGTGCTAGTAAGGTGCCTCTGTCTCCACAAACAGAAAGGCATATTATTCCCCTGCTTCTCTCTCCCCCCTCCTCCCCCGTCCCTTCTCCAAGCTAGTAGATTGTAGCCAGAAATTTGGAAACATGATGACTGTAAGTGTTTGGGGAATAATGTAAAGAAATACTTTTCTGGGCAATGTATATTTGTTTGATCTGGATTCATTATTGAAAACCAAATTTGAGATTTTCATACTACTTTAAGTAAAAAAAGCTTAAAGTGCACCTTTTGGGAAATCTAGAAGTTTGTATGAATACATTTCTGATGTTACAATATGTGAGGTGATGTCATCGGATTGCAGTCTGGAGGAAGCATTTTGTCAGTCTCCTCTAGACTAGTGATCAAACTGCCACACTGTACCTTTGCAGCCATGCACAAGGTAAAAGGCTGCAGCAGGGGACAGATATCTGTCAGAGATTATTGAGCACTGCCAAGAACCACATAGACACCAGGGTTTCCATGCTGTAATTTCTGAGCTAGCATCTCAGTCCAGCAATTAGATGTTGACCATAAATAATACCTGAACAAAAGATTTTCTACTTCTTGGAAAGAAAAGCAGATGAAAGCATTATCAGATGTGTAAGTAGTACACACCTGAATACGAGTAGTGTTAGCCCTATGACGTCTACATCCACTACTACCTCTTGAGTGTGTTTGTGTGGGTGTGGTCTGATCTTTGTTATATCAGTTATCTAAATGTAATTTTGCCATTTTAGACTGCAAAGTATCTGATTGCTACCAAGTATCTGATAGCCAGGCACTCTGCTTTTTCACCTGGCTACCCAATTCCCTATTATTACTTGTTTTCTCAAGCTAGTATTCTCATCTCACTCTCATTCTTAAATCTGACTCTGAAAAGAGGTAAACTGGTGTGTTGTATGGTTTTAACTCTTATTTAAAATCATTACAGGCTGTTGCTTCACTCACACACATTGGCATGAACGGGAGCTGGCATAGCATCAAATTATTTGATAAGATGAATAATAATAAATAATAATAATAATACATAATTATGAATAATGATTACAAAATTATGTATAATTATTATTAATAATTATTAAATAACAAAGTAAAGTCTTCATTGTCTCTGTATATCTGGAACCAGTAGTGCTGTCTAAGAGCAGGTATGACAATGGAACAGTTGTTACTACCACTGTCCAGAAACATCTATTCACTGCTTGCACTGATATTGCTTTCTGCAAGGACTTGATTGTATTAATTTTGCCCCTAAGCACTGCCCAACTGTAGGCCCTGCCCCCCTGCTGTCCCCCCTCGCCAATAAAAGTGACTGCATTGGCCAATACGGCACTCTTATTGCACAGGAAAATGGTAAGAAAAAAAGGGGGTGGCTTTGACCTAAAATTCCCCCAGTGGCTTTTTTCACCTAGGGATGTAATAGCTGGTACTTTGTGGTGACAGATCTTAGTTTCAGATGTTTAGATTGGATGATAGTTTAATTTTAAGTTAAAATGAGTGGAACTTCTAATTCTCTGCAAAATTTCACACATTGACTTTACTGCCATCTGGTTGCTCTTTAAACACTACTTTGGAAACAGTTCTATAACAAAAAAAATCTCTTTCAGCGTTTGCCAGTTATTTGTACCTTTATGTCTGTAGGTTTGTTTCTTGCGGGGCCTATTAAGATTTCATCTTATCAAACAGTAAACCAATTCTGCACAGTTCTATTGAAAAATAAAGAAATTACATTCTGCTCCATTTACTACATTAAATCACTGAGGGTTTTCATGACACACATTATCCGTAACTGCACAGATGAAACGGAGACTACTAGCGCAACAAACAGGTGTTTTAAGATGTATAATCAGATGTATAATTATTCTACCTAAATAAATAGTGCGCATGTTGCAAGAATTTAGCAAAAAAACACTTTTTAGTATTGAAAAGTGGCTAGTATTATGTTTCCTTTTAAACTTGCACAATGGACATTAAACAAAAAAAAAACAGATTTTAGGCTAATTGGGGTTATCATATACTACAAATGTGTTTATTTGAGAACTATCCAGTCAGCTATAGCATGATGACAGTAGCTATCCACAGGCATTAAATAATATTTGCCATTGGTGGGTTACTTAAATTCAGAAAGGGTAAGCAAAAAGGGTAAGTATACTTTCTGTGAACCCTTTGATCATCATTTAATCCTGGTGTTAGATGAAGGCAGTGCAAGGATTGGCAGAGGGGCTTTTCAGACACTGAGCGGTTGGTCAGGTGAATGAGTCTAGCAGCAGCATTCATTATAGACTGAAGGGGGGATAGCCTGTGTAGTGGAAGGCCAATGAGGAGGGAGTTTCAATAGTCAAGACGAGAGATAACAAGTGAGTGGACGAGTAATTTAGCGGTTTCATTGGTGAGGAAGGGGCGTATTTAGGAGCTGTTACGAAGGTGAAGGCGGCAGGATTTGGATAGAGATTGGATGTGGGGAAAAAAGGTGAGGTCCTAGTCAAAGATGACACCTAGCACCTTGGCGTGAGGGGAGGGATGGATAGTTGTGTTATCAATGTAAAGGGAAAAGTTGGGGGAAGGTGCACGGGTGGGAGGAAATATCATGAGCTCAGTTTTTGAAAGATTGAAGTGTTGTGACATCCAGACTGATATGTCAGTTAGTAGAGTAGTGACACGCAAGGACATGGAGGGGGTGAGTTGTGCAGTAGAAATATAGTGTCATCGGCATAGAGATGGTATTGGAAGCCATGTGAGGTTATTAACTGAGAGATGGTGTAGATAGAAAAAAGAAGGGGTCCAAGGACTGAGCCTTGGGGAACCCCTACAGAAAGAGGAAGAGGAGGGGAGGACTTAGATTTGTAGGTGACACTAAAGGAGCTAGTGTAAGGAGATAGGTCTGAGATTATTGAGGTTGGTAGTGTCCAGTGAGGGTTTTTTGCGGGTATTGGGGTGACCAACGCATGCTTTAGAGAGGAAGGAAAGTTGCCTGTAGAGAGGGAAACATTGAAAATGTGAGTAAGATAGTGTAGGATAGAGTAAGAGGGTGACCGTAGTAGTGGTGAGGGAACAGGGTCTAGGGGGCAAGTGGTGAGGTGGGTGTCAGAGAGAAGCTTTGTAACCTCCTCTATGGTGACAGGGTCAAAAGAGGAAAGTAACAAGTGTGATGGTATTTTAATAGTAAGATTAAGATATCCTTGATGAGGTTTCCAGGTATGCCTCAACCTCCAGTAATTATAAACCTCCAGCTCTAGTTTCTATATATGAGCAACAAAAAAATAAATTGAACTAAAGACCAGAGATGGGAACTCACGAGATAATGCCAAAAGTATCCCCATAAGATGTTAGAATACAATTGCTAAGCCAGTCTGCATCATTACCAAACCTTTAAGGAGAAGATTTGAGGCAGTACAGATCCAGTACAAATACATGGGTAGTTTATTACATCTTATATTTATCTTATTCTAATTGCAGAATGCTTGACCAGAGAATGAAGTGGACACTTCAGACACATCTGTCCTTTTGGATGAAATATTGCTTATCATCTAGCAGTCAATTTAAATTTAAGACTTGGAGAATTATGAAAGATCTCACCTCAGTTGGGTTCATTGGAAGTGAACGGTATCTTTCATTGCTGCTCACCATTCTAGATATGAAACTAAATGTTTCCATCTAGCACAATCGGAAACAGCCATCTTCAAATAATGAGCACTTTCAGCAGCACAGGAATGTTGATTGGTCTGACAACAGTTTCGGTTACCTTGGACATCAGTATACACAATGGACTGATGGCCTGGCACATTAACAACAATGTGACTTTAAACCAGAGTCTGCCTACATCGGATCCGGCTAATGTGTCCGAAAAGGATGCAATATTCCACCCATCACTTGACAAGAACTGGTCTGCTCTTTTGACTTTGATTATCATCATTTTAACAATAGGAGGAAACATTCTGGTCATTATGGCTGTGTCGCTGGAGAAAAAACTTCAAAACGCCACCAATTTCTTCCTTATGTCACTGGCAGTGGCTGATATGCTTGTGGGAATTTTAGTTATGCCAGTTTCTCTCATCACAATTCTGTACGGTAAGTTTTTCTTTCTTTGCAGTTTAATAATGTATTGCTTTTATTATAGCTGTATATTATTGAAATGAATGAACAAATCTATTCTTTAAGATTGTGGAGCTCTTGGACTTTTAGCCAAACATATAAGCTTTGCATTAATGGTGACTAAAACCTGACATTTCTAACCGTTCCCCAAATGTTTTAATGGTATTGGTTGCTTTTTGCTGAGATGTACTGTGAGTAATGTGTAATGCAAATTATCTTGAGCCCAAACTTTTTTTAGTTTTGAATGATATAAGCATTGGTTGGAATCTTAACTTTTTGTTACTTTCAATGCCTTGGCCGGGGAGATTCACCCTCTCTATTTGTCCTGGAAACCATTATCATCATGACAGAAAGAACTCACAAGGGTTTAAAAAACATTTTTGTGATCATCTGTGTCTTATTAGGGAGATAAGTGAAATTTCCTCAATTGTAACTGCAGTAAGCATCCCCACTGGAGAGCCCCTGTTCTGTAAAGAGTACCCATTCAGAAGTAAATACTGGACAGGGGCTCCAAACCCTGATCTCTGTATAAATTAGTTTAGATGCACTTTTACATTTGTCTCCCCTATC